GGATATCACCACTGGACCACCAGGGAATGCTTCTCTGAGTACCCTGCAACATAGGGAAGAAAGCCAAAAAACATTGAGCGGATTCCAGCCCGGGAACTCGAGATGTTGTAGCTTTCATGCGCCCGGCCAAGCGGCCTGATCCCTTCAAGAAGGCACCGGCAGAGGCCCATGAGTCTCCCTCATTGGGTGATGACGGCCCGGTGACCAACTTCCCAAAGTCTAAAGCACATGAGGAAACGGGAGTCAATGAGCCCCCTACAAAAGCCGACATCAAGGCAGTGGTAAAAGACATCCAAGCCATGTTCCAAGCGGACATGGCACTTGTCAGAGAAGACGTGTCCACGCTTACCAAATGAGTGGGGACAGCTGAAGAAAACATCAAGGGGGCAGGGGTGGCACAAACAGCCACAGATACAGCTCTCAACTTGCTACAGAAACAATGCAGCTCCCTGACAGCCCAACTGGCAAGCATGGAGGACAGAGCCAAAGCACACAACATGAAGATCAGAGGTGTGCCAGAATCAATCACTAATACTGAACTGACCCATTACTGCAGAAAGCTTATAGCCATGGTACTAGTACCAAAACAGGTGAAGCAGATCGGAGTGGACTGGGTTTTTTGACTACCAAGAGCCACTAAAGCACCCAAAGACCCCCTCCCCCCCAGGATATATTACTTAAATTTGTCTGGGACTCAGAAAGGGGGCTCACCATGGTACCCTTTGAGAAATCGCACCTAACGCTTTTCAGAGACTTCTCCAGACACATTCTGACCTGGAGGAGATTGTTTCGGCAGGTCACACAGCAGCTCACTACAAATGGGGCCCACATCGCTCGCTGGCTGAGAAAGATGGCGACACACATCTTCTGGCACACTTTTCAGAGGCCCCGACCATCCTCAGAGCACTGGACAGCAGAGGCGATACTCACAGACACTGGCCCATCATGGAATGTTGGCAGTATTCACCCCTTTGTATTTAGGGACCTGGGGCGGAGTGCACCGGTCTTGCACATCTGAACTGAAGGCAATGGGCACTTGAGCTACCAATTGTGGCTTTATTTTCATATATTTAGCTTAACTGTTGACTATATGTTTAGTTTACAAAAACCATTTGCAGAAGCGTATCCATTATATTTTATTTTCATGTACACATGCACGCAGAAGTGCGCCTGGCTCCGTAAGCGGCTAAACAAACAACTAAACTAGTTTAATACCCCACACCCCACACAACACCCACTCATTATACTCAGATGTTACACGGCACACTCCACACAGTTACTCAAAGGGGCGCTCTAAGCTTACAACTTGCAACCTCTGTTCCCAACTCCGAATTCGCTATGATACAGTTGAGGGATTTAAGTTTAACTAAAATTAAAAATGGGACTTTCCATTAATTGTGAATTAATTCATGCCAAAACATATACCTGTTGATTGCAATCTTTTACTCACATAATGTATCGCTATGTTTATGCTTGCCTGCAAAAATAAAGAATAAAAAAACAAAAACGAATGTTGTATGTACAATAATATGTATACACACTTACAATATCTTTAAAACAAGAAGATTTTCAGATATTTAGTGATGATCCATCTATTCAGAGAGAACTACCAGTTTATTTCTAGTAACCTTAAAGATTTTTATGGCCAGCTTCAAAATAACTATGCATCCTGTGAGACGTAGACTTATTTTAGATATCCAGTGCCATCTGCCAAATAGTGCATTGAGATAGCTAGGTTTTGATATGAAATCATTATGGAGATATACAAACCAATTACTATATCTCACAATAAGTGGCTTGTGTCTATTTTGTATATTAAAAAACTTGGTCATTGGAAATTAAAGTAAGTACCTGTCAGCCTTCAAGCTTCACATTGGAATATGGTAATGTACAAGATTAGATGTATTTTAAAACATACATGTAATTTATATCCTCATTATTGGAGTTTAAGATCGGTCTCTGTAAAGGAATAAATGTTTAGTAATTCTTGAACCTTGTTGATCCAAATAGAAATATGTCTACCACTTTGGAGTCAAGATAGAATAACAAATTTCTAATGTCAAATGTACTTCTTGGAAATACGTAAACAAGATATAAATCTTTGACCATCGAGATTGTGTTCAGACAAAACAAAAAGCAGAGCAAGCAGAACCACTGTTCCAATTTTATTATTTTTTTCTTCATTATCAAATGACAACAAAATGATCCAAGGGCTATGACATGTTTTGGTTGATCTCAACATTAGGGCATTTCCAAATTTTTATTTTGTGTGATGTATTTTACTGCAACTTTTTAACCAATGTTTTGTTTTGTTTGTAATTTCCAGTATTTTATATTAAAGAGTTCCAATAATTTGTGTCTCTCTAATAAATTAAATTCAGTAATTGCAAGTTGCATTATTGTACTAAAATAAGTAAATAGGTAAATAAATACAAAACAAGACATTTAAACTACTGGTAAGTATATGAAAACAATCCCAAAATATTGCACTGGAGGACAAATTATTTACAACCTGGTGCATCATTTAGGAGATAATACATCAATCAAGAGAATGGTATTCCATGGACTTGCCTTTGTAAAAAGAAAAAAAGCTATTTGATTTATTTAGAACATAAACTTTCATCATATATACATACATATATGTATGCAATTAAATGTAATATATATATATATATATATATATATATACATATGTGAATAACTGATAAAGCATTTCTAAATTTGCCTTTTATACCCACCATTTCCCAGTACAAATATATATATTTGATTTTAATAATGCTAATTTATATTTTTATAAAAAATAATTACATATTTTAGGCTTTTTTTTTGTTAATAATATGGGGTCATTGGCTACTCTTAAAATATTTTTTTTAAACACAACCTAGAACATATAACTAACATCATAGTCACATCTGTTTTAGTTATGACATCTCATCTATGTAATATAACCTTTTCTGGATCAAGTACTTCTTCTGTAGTCTTAGTTTAATTACTTATTTTAATCCATAGATATTCAAAATAAGTTACCTAATATGGGCATTCTCCAAAAGTCTCCTCACTCTTCAAGGTTAAACTCACGGAGGCCTTTGAGGAGTCGCACCTGATGCTTTTCATTAATTGCAGCTAAAGGAGGGAGACCTCTATGTAAATGTTCGTGATTACAGCTCTAATAAATATATTTTTCAAAGTAAAAGCATGGTCTTTTACTGCTCTGGTAGGTTTAGAAAGCTGAACATATGTGCCACTTGAATTGGCTTTTGAAATGCTCACGTAACCTGAGTTTTAATGTTAAGAAACATAGAAAAGCACTAAACTTGCTAAAGTCCAGTTTGAGGGATTCAGGTGAACTTTTTCTCATTGATGATCTATAATATACTTGTTGATGGTCTATCACAATCCCATTGTGAATTAATTCCTTATTCTTCTGTTTCGTGTTTTAATGACATATCTGCACCAGATGACCATTCATATCATCATTCAAATCTTACAAAAACTAGTTCGAATGGCATTTGTTTGCTCAATTTAATGATTGTATCAGCATAAGATTTTTTTTTAAATCTCAACTGCCTGTTTGCAAGATGAATAATAAAGACGTTTTAATAATATATTCCTTATAAAAATGAATGCATTTTATTATGCATTTTTTCATATATATAAAAATTCCTTGCAAATGCTTCGGATCTCCTGTTTGAAACCTCTCTTTCCAACCCAGCCTAGACTTTCTCTTTCTCTCCAATCATAGACTTCTCAATGCAGCTCAGTGAAAAGTATTTGCAAGGTGGCTTTTTTGGCCAATTGGCTGCTTCTTGAGTTTAGCTCCACTGAGCTAAAAAAGAGAAAGTAAAAGGGCTGGTTGTCTGACTGACAGCCAGGATTGTGTAACAAGTTTAATTCATAAGAGTACCAATTTCTATTAAATTCTGTACTTTTTGTAAAATGAAAAAGAGGACACACTCTTCACACATAAGGCACGTCAGCAAGCTAAAGTGTTTTAGGTTTGTGGAGTGTCCCTTTAACTTAACTAAATTATTTCAATAAACATTAATCAATTTGTTTACATATGTAAAAAAATCTTTTAAATGTATTAATTGTTCTTGACCCAGCTTGTCTGTATGTTACTGTGTACCACTGGCATCATTAACCTTAGCTTTTCCTGTATTATTCTCATATATTATTCTATTCTACTTCTCGGAGGTCTAGTATATTAAGTCCGACTAATCTTTGTTTAATTGATTCATTTTATTTATTTATTTTCTATACTTAGTATATTGGATTTTCATCCTGATCCTGACATGATTTGATATGTTATATCTTCACTGTGATTGTAACTCGGTGATATATTTTACCATAAGGTCTCAAATTGGCATTTGAGATATTTAAAAAAATGATTTTCTTGACCATAGTCATATTGGCAAAATGTATCTATGCTTTGATATATAGTAAATACAAATATATGTCCAGCACTTCATAATTGTGAAAAAACCACACCGGTATATTATGGGAAAATTATTCTAACTGAGAACTTATCAGAGATGATCAAGATTAAACAGGTAGACAGGGTGGATAATACAGTCCAAATAACTGAAACAAGCCTAGCACAATACTCACACTCCCTCTTGGTAGGGCACAATAACCCTTACTCTGCTTTCCAGTACCAGTGGTACATACAGATAATGATCCAGGACTCAAGAAGTGTGCAAAAAGCACTCTAAACGCCTAACAATTTCAGACCTGCAAGTAACAATATCCTACATAATTCTGTGATTGATTGTGTTGTTACTCTGACTTAGTTGTAAGAGGATGGTCAAAGGAGAATTCTAAAGAATAATTTTTTAGTTCATTCAAATATCCTGAAATGTTAACATCAAAACAAATTCTTGTGACTTTATTGGCATGATCTAACATCACCACATGTGCTTTTTATTTGCAGTAGTCAACATGATTAGAATATACAGACAGCACATGACACATCCTGCTATAGCAAGAGTTTGCATGACGTGATTTGCTTTTATCAACTCTAGCAATACAGAACAATTTTGCCACACCTCTTACTGTGATACTATTCCTTTGAAATACTGCATGATTAAAACCTCCTAAATATGACTGGATATTACATGTATGCCATGAATATACTTCAGTTGTTGACTGCTCTTTCTGTTTGCAAAACAAGCTACTTTTTTTTTGATTTTGAAGAAGAAAATGAAATGTTGTATTTTGAAGCAAAGGAAGTTGGTAAAATTTGAATTCTGTATAAGATCCTGATGTTTTCATAAAAATGTATTGTTCAATCCATAATATGGGATAAAATAGCAGGAATTGAGAGATTAACTCTCTTTGAGCAATGAATGCGTATACGGGAATACTGGTGACAGTTTATTGATAGTCATTGTTTCCATTCAGTCTCTTTTTAGTAAGACACTTTTGCTGGCACTTTCCAGCAGAAGCTGTAGGGTTTTTTGATGGTTGATTGGCTAATGGTCAAAGCCACTAATCAGTCCTTTAATCAATGAAGATCTTGATGTATTATAGCTGTGTTTCATCCTTAGAATCTTGTCCTGCTGCATTGCAGAAGCTGCTTTTCCGACTGGATGCATTGGCTGGAACATACGACAATGGATCTGGTCTGATGAGATAACTAAAGAAGCAAAATATTTTTGTTAGTTCCATGCTGAATTATACCAGGAATCACAAAATGTTATCAATATTGTTTACAAGAAGATCATATAGAACACAAGTTAGACAAAACTGCTTTACAAATGCTTTAAATGATCGCAGGACACACTTTTACAGGTACAAGCCTATACTAAGGTCTCGATGTTAGAATGATGAGCCAGGCACTTATAAAAGAGTTTTTTTTAGTTTTTTTTAGACTTGTACGTGCCCTGTATACGTTTTGTATTATTTGTGTGAAGAGGGCTTTGGTGCAATGTCATCATCAATATATTGCTGCTTTGTTAATCTACTCATCCCTCCCCCATGGGTCCCCCCCTATTTCTATGTATTTCTTAATGTAGGTTTCCTGTCCATTTAACCTGCAAGTTTAGTTCCTGGAGAGTACGAGAGCCTACTATATCTATGGTTTCTTTGTTTAGATATTCTATTTGTCTCTCTGCCCGGATCAGGGTTCTATTACCCTCGTTCTCTTTTTTCCCCCTTCATCTGAAAGAAAAGAGTCAGGTCACTATGTGGAACACTGATGGCCTAGTAAATTATCCAATCTATTTATCCATGTATCCCAGTCCTCTATTTGTTTATAATAAAGAAAAAAGAGGGATGGAACAGCTCTATCCAAACTGATCACAATGGGGAGGGGGAGGTTGCAAACCTGAAAGGAAGGGTAACCCTCAAAACCCTTCAAAGGACTGGAAAAACAGAAGACAACACGTACAGGGTGCGCCAAGAACAAAGTGAATACATAAAATAAATAATAGAAAAATACCAGGGAAACAGGCAAATTAAAGTCTCTAATTCACAGGTAGATTCTTCAGAAATTCTTAAGACGTCTTGGGTCAAATCCTCATCAGCATATATGAAAGAAAAAAAACAACACACAGAGGGGACCAATGGTGCAGTAACTTAAAGGAGTATGGCCACAGACAACACTGAGGTTAAGAAATGCCAACTCACATTTATGGGAGCTATAACCAGCTCGAGTTAAAACAGCATACAGTGGTATTTAAACTCCCCACATGTAGGAAATTCCTCTGACTATATTTTTGCAGTGCAGGTCATATCAAATAAAAACACAAGAGAAAGCCCATAGTGCTCTCTATATTAAAAAAGTGCTGGATAACATAGGAGATGTACTTACAATTTACAGAGCAGACAAACCGCTCTGTGTAAAGCGCCTGGGTGGAACAATCCCCACCATGGATTCTTTAGATGGTATAAAAGCTTCAGATGTTAGGAAATGCCAGGTAAAAAATAAGGATAAATATAAAAGTATTTAAAATTAAAGAGACTAACCAAAATATTAGGTAGTCAGAAAAAAATATACTTTTATTTAGATTAAAACACAACACGTTTCACCATAAGGATGTATGTGTTTTTATTTCATATGACCTGCACTGCAAATGTGGGGAGTTTAAATACCACTGTATGCTGTTTTAACTCGAGCTAGTTATAGCTCCCATAAATGTGAATTGGCATTTCTTAACCTCAATGTTGTCTGTGGCCATACTCCTTTAAGTTACTACACCATTGGTCCCCTCTGTGTGTTGTTTTTTTTTCTTTCATATATGCTGATGAGGATTTGACCCAAGACGTTTTGAGAATTTCTGAAGAGTCTACCTGTGAATTAGAAACTTTAATTTGCCTGTTTCCCTGGTATTTTTTTCTATTATTTATTTTATTTATTCACTTTGTTCTTGGCGCACCCTGTACTTGCTGTCTTCTGTTTTTCCACTCTATTTGTTTATATCTGTTTCCCAAGTTTACTAGGATACCGCTTTCAATTTGCTTGCTTGCAATGTTACTTGTTTTATCAATTCGTTAATATTTGGAATTGTCTCTGTTTTCCAGTTTCTTGCAAGAAGTAATTTGGCTGCCGTAATTATATGTAATTACACCATTGATGTTTTTTTTTTGTAATTTCTGGCCAGTGCAAGTTTAGTTAAACCACTTCAGGCTCGCAAGGTAGTTTTATTTCCATTATTTGATATATTATCTTGATTACTTCTTTCCAAAATATATTTATGGGTGTGCACTGCCACCAAGTATGGAACTTTCACTTGGGGGAATATTAAAGTCCTTCATAATTTGGTTGAAAGGTTTAAGGTTGTATTCCTCCATTATGTCTTTAAATTCCTTTACCCCTTTTGACATCCATAGGTCTGTTTTTATATTTTCTAACATATCTGAGATACTTGTGAATGGGAGCATGTCAATTATTTGGTTTCTTTATTTAGCCTTTCTTATTTGTGAGTTTATCCCACCATCTTGTTAGCTCTTTAATTATCTGAGATTTGCTTTGTGCCTCACTCATAGATTTTTTATTTGCCTCAACAATCCAAAATAATGAGGATACGTTTCTCACCCCAGTTTTAGTTTTTCCATTTTATACCATGTTTCTTGAGTAGACGCCATGCTTTGTGTGAGCATTATATGAAATAATCTGCTGGCCTGATGACATTGTAAAACTTCTGGGCACCCCAAGCCTCCCTCCTGTCAAATAAATTTAACAAAATAGAGTGTAATAGAGACAGACAGTTTTCTGGGAAATTAATTGGAATCATTCTCCAAAGGTACAGCTATTTTGGCAGGATATATGCTGTTAGGATGTTAATCCTACCAGACCATGATAAACCCATGTCTTTCCAATCCCTTAGATTTTTGTTAGTTTGCTGTAGTAGGGGTAGGAAGTTAGCTTCTATTAAATCTTTTAATTCTGAAGTTATGTTAAAGGGACACTATAGTCACCAGAACAACTACAGCTTATTGAATTTGTTCTGGTGAGTAGAATAATTACCTTCAGGCTTTTTGCTGTAAACACTGTATTTTCAGAGAAAATGCAATGTTTACATTACAGCCTAGTGATAACTTCACTGGCCACTCCTCAGATGGCTGTTAGAGATCCTTCCTGGGTCATGGCTGCCTAAAATGCATCAAACATTCAGTATCTCCTCCCTCTGCATGCAGACACTGAACTTTCCTCATATAGATTCATTGATTCAATTCATCTCTATGAGGAGATGCTGATTGGCCAGGGCTGTGTTTGAATTGTGCTGGCTCTGCCCCTGATCTGCCTCTTTGTCAGTCTCAGCCAGTCATATGGGGAAGCATTGTGATTGGATCAGGCCACCACTTATGCTGATGTCAACAGGCAGTGGGCAGGTCAAAAGGAAACAGGGGCAGAGCCAGCAGCTCCAGACTTGAATACAAGTAAGATTTCTTTATTTAGGGAGGCATGAGGGGCTCAGGGTGGCTAGATGGTGGTTTTAACCCTATAGGGTCAGGAATACATGTTTGTGTTCCTGACAATATAGTGCTCCTTTAATACCCAGATATTTTAGTCTGTCACTGTTTTCAGATAGCCCAGTGTTCTGCACAAATAGTTTGAGTGTACTTGTATTCATATTTTTAGTTATAAATGTCAATTTTTTCAGATTTATTTTATATCCTGAAACTTTGGAGTAATTGTTTATGTCCTTCAGTAGTTCCGAAATGGTTGGCTCTTCTAATGTTAATAGGATGTCATCTGCATAGATATTTAGTTTGGTTTGTCCTTTTGAATTCATGAATCCCATAGTTTTATTATTCTGTCTTATTAAAATTGCTTGGGGTTCTATCACCATTATGTACAATAAGGGGGAAAGCGGACACCCTTGTCTGGTCCCATTTTTAATATTACAATTTTGTGATGTAAACCCTGATCCTGTTATCTTAACTGACGGAGAGCTGTAGAGAGCAGATACGACTTGTAAAATTGGTCCAGTTATTCCAAAACGGTTTAGAGTGGCGAACATGAAACCCCATCCAACCCTGTCAAACGCTTTCTCTGCGTCTATTGACAGAAGTATTAAAGGGGTTCCACTGCTCTCCACTTCCTCCATTATATTTATTATTTTTCTAAGGTTGTTAACTGAGGACCTCCCTGTTATAAATCCGACTTGATCATTATTAATAAGTTGTGGTATTACTGTTTTGAATCTATTAGCTATAATAGAAGATGGTATATTAATATCTGTATTAATGATATGGGTCTATAATTGCCTATATTGTCTAGGTCTTTGTCTGCTTTTGGGATGGGCACAATGTTTGCCCTCAACAGCTCTCCAGGACAGTCTCCTGTTTCCATTATATAGTTTAAAATATTGGTAAGTTCCCCTTTTTGTTGATCTTTCATTAATTTTAAAATGTATTTGTAAAGCCATCTGGGCCCGGAGTCGTCTTTATTTTAAGTTTGTCTATGGATTAGCTGACCTCTTCTTCTGTTATAGGCTGATTTATTTGCCTTAATTGATAGGGTTGTTTGGCATGGGCAAGTTTTCAAATAACTTATCTCTTTTGCCTTACCAAATGTTTCTTCTGGCAAGCTGTATAAATTTTGATAAAATCTTTCAAATGCACCTCCAATTGTTTCCAGAGCCATTAGATAAGTATCATTCTCTTTTATTTAGTATATTACTCTTTTATATTTATTTTTTTTCAACTTATTGGTCATCATTGTTTCTGGTTTATTGCCTTTTAAATACCATTTAGCTTGCAATGATTCTAATTGTTTAGATGTTTTCCTATTTCTGCAATCTTACTTGCTGT